CCTCTTCCTTTTTCCTCCCCAACGCCACACACCTCCTCGCTGCAGCCTTGCCGCAGCTATCCTCCTCTCTTCTTCTTCTTCTTCTTCTTCTTCTTCTTCTTCTTCCCTTCTCCTCCCCAACGCCCCACACATCCTCTCCTCTGTTTCCACCTGGTGGAAACAGAGGTGCTGCAGCTAGGGTGGAAACAGAGGTGCTGCAGCCCTAGCTGCAGCTGCTGCCTCTCTCTCTCTCCTCTTCATCTTCCCTCTCTTCTTCTTCTTCTTCTTTTCTTCTCTTCTCCCTCTTCTTCCTAATCTCTTCTTTTCCCTCTTCTTTCTTCTTTTCTTCTCTTCTCCCTCAACTTCTCTTCTTCTTCTCCCCACGCCCCACCGCTCCGAAAGAAACAGAGAGAGCGTGGGAGGCGGTGGGATAAAACCGAAATTTTCGGTTTTCTTTATTTTTTTTCTTTTTACAACTTAATAGTTTAGTCTTTGACATTTCTATATTTATATATAGGTCCTCCAATTTACATATAAATCCTTATTAATAATTTTCAAAAGGGAGGGATATTACATCTACTTCCTAATCACGTATTCAAATTGACTATCTCTATGGCTTGAAACAAGCTCCTAGAGCTTGGTATGAAAGGTAAGAAAATTTCGGAAGAAGGTGCATCCAAGTTGCTATTTTGAGGAGGAGGTTCATTTAAATTCAAATTATCAAAACCAAGATCATCATCAAAACACTTATAAAAAAAAAAGATAATCATCAAAATTATTTTTCTTTAAATTAGAAATTTAATTAAAAACTACATGAATAGACTCTTCTATTACTAAGGTTCTTTTGTTAAAAACCCGAAAAGCCTTAGAAACGAAAGAGTAACCAAGAAAGATGTTTTCATCGGATTTAGCATCAAATTTTCCTAAGGCATCCCTTTCATTCAAAATAAAGCATTTACAACCGAAAACTTTAAAATAGAAAATATTTGGTTTTTTGTTATTCCTTAATTCATAGGGAGTTTTTGATAAGGATGGTCTTATTAGGACCCTATTCATGATGTAGCAAGCCGTATTTACGGCTTCGGCCCAAAAATACTTGGGTAGACTATGTTCATTTAACATCGTTCTTGCCATTTCTTGTAGGTTTTTATTTTTTCTTTCAACTACTCCATTTTGTTGGGGATTCCTCGGAGTGGAGAAGTTGTGATTGTATCCATTAACATCACAAAAATTTTGAAAGTCACGGTTTTGAAATTCGCCACCGTGATCACTTCGAATTGATGAAATCATGAAACCTTTTTCGTTTTGAGTGAGTTTACAAAATTTAGAGAAACACTTGAAACAATCACTTTTGTGAGCTAAGAAATAGGTCCAAGTGTATCTAGTATAGTCATCCACAATTACAAACGCATATTTGCTTCCTCCTAGACTTGTCGTGTCAATTGGTCCAAATAAGTCCAAATAAATCAATTGTAATGGTCTAGTGGTGCTAATTTGAGTTTTTGGTTTGAAACTAGTTTTTATTTGTTTACCTAGTTGACATGCATCACATACTGTATCCTTAATAAACTTTATATTTGGAATTCCTCGCACTAGTTCTCTAGATGAGATCTTAGATATTAGTTTCATGCTTGCATGGCCTAGTCTCCTATGCCAAAGCCAAACATCATCATTTAAAGCGGAGAAGCACATTTCATTACTTAGTTCATCAAGGTTTATGGTGTAGACATTATTTTGTTTTAATGCAATCATAGTTATGTTATGATTTGGTTTTTCAATAATACACACATTTGATTCAAATCTAATGATATAACCTTTATCGCATAATTGACAAACACTCAAGAGATTATGTTTCAATCCATCAACTAGTAAGACATCATCAATAGAAAATTTTAATTTGTTACCTATGGTTCCCTTGCCAATGATTTTACCTTGGTTGTTGTCTCCGAAGGTGATGTACCCTTATTCTTTGCTAGTGAGCATAGAGAAATGAGATCTCTAGTCATATGTCTTGAGCATCCACTATCTAGATACCATCTCTTGCTCCTAGCTTGTGATGGTATATGTTTCTACAAGAAGGGATTATTTTTAGGTACCCATTTTCTTTTGGGTGCCTTAAAAACTGATTTAACTTGTTCATCATATTGCATATAATTGATCATGGTTCCTTTAGGAACCCAAATTAGTTTGTTAAATGAGTGTTCAAGACAAAGTATAATGCAAATGAAAGTATCCAAAAGCATAAGGCTCGGCTTGTAGCAAAAGGATATTTGCAGCAACAAGTGATTAGGCATGAGCTTTAGATGATAGAAATAGTGCTTCAAGTAATATTTGTAGCCTTTAATCAGGAGATATATCTTGGAGTTTAAAAAAGTAAGCAATAACTACGTTATCGACGAAGCAGAATATGTAATTGTAACATCAACAGCTTGTCAAGCAAAATCACTTAGAAGACTTCTTAAAGATCTTCATCAAGAACAAAAAGAAGCAACGAAAATATTTTGTGACAGCAAAGCTATGATTGCAATGACGAAAAATCTAACATTTCATGGAAGAGCGAAACATATAGAGAGACGCTATTATTTCATCCGAGATCTTGTAACAAATGGAGCTATAGCAATGAAGTATTGTGGAACAGATAAACAAGTTATAGATATTCTCACCAAGTCGTTTCCAGTTCAGAAGCATGTTTATTTTATGTCGCAAAGCGATATATATAACATGAATCAAGGTAGAGTGTTGAGAATTGATTCATAGGGGTTATCTAGGTAGTTATCATATTCTAAGTAGTTATAGGCATGTTTTAAGTAGTGGCCAATGATCTAGAAATTATAAGATAGTTCCTATACCTAACTCAATCATGGGTGACATGATGGAGTGAGATAGTTACCGCTAGGTCTTATAAATATGATCATAGTTCATGAAATAGGATGGTATATGTACACTTGAGAATATATTTTAAGTGTTTTATATCTTACCTCTTGTTTAAATATTACATCAGTTTTCTTGATTAAAAATATTTTTTAATTACATCATAATATTATATTTTTATCGTTTTGTTGCTCCATCCCAACACAAACTGCATGCAACAAATAAGATCTGATAAATTCTAAAGCCATGAATAGCTCCTCATGTGAACTATTTCTTATGATACAGAACACTATCTTACACTTACAGATAACAAAAAAATGTTTCAGATCTCAGCATTTGCTATCTTGATTTATAATCGATTTCTAGATTGGTTAAAGCAATAAAATGCTCAAATGATTCACCATTGCTGGATTACAATACCCATCGCTCACTGATGTCATAAGTAAGAGAGAGAGAGAGAGAGAGAGCTATAATGCTTCTTCGACTTGACTGTCAGGCTTGCACTGGTATGGACGAAGCTGGTGCAATGCAGCCCTTGAAGAGTTTGAGAAGCGAGTTCCCAATTCTCAGTTCCTGCTGCACAAGAACAGGAAGGCCTTCCTGAAGGCATTCATCAAACTTCTCCAACACCGACACGATATAGCTAAAATCTGGTCGCTTTGCCGGGTTTGCAGACCAGCAACTCTTTATGAGATTGTTGAGCACAGGTGAACAGGTCGTCGACAGCGGTGGCCGCAAGTTCTGAGGGAGATGAAGCCATCACAGTGAGCCTCAGACAGTAAGAGATCCTACTGATGTGGAAGATGAAGAGAATTTCATGCAGATCGAAGCATCTACCTTCTCTGAAGCGGCATAGGCAGCCTGCACCGGCGTCATTCCTTGGTAAGGAACGAGAGCAGTGGTGAGCTCCCACAGCACGATGCCGAAGCTGTACACGTCCACCTTCCTAGTATACGGCTTCTCCTTGATCATCTCCGGCGCCATCCAACGATAGGTCCCCATGTTTCCCTTGGATTCCCGGCACTGCGTCTCCAGGCAGGAGGTGCCAAAGTCTGCGACCTTGACTCGCATCTCGTCGTTGAGGAGCAGATTATGAGACTTGAGGTCTCTGTGGATCACACCCTGCGAATGGAGATACCGCATCCCTCGAGAGATGTCGAGGGCTAATCGCAGGATCGTCTCGGTCGACAGCGAGTAGGGCTCCTTTTTGTGGAGGTACATCCTTAGAGTTCCCTGAGACATGTACTCTGTGATGATGCAGTACACGGGAGGCTTCTTGCAGGCTGCTATAAACTACATGAACAAGAACCGCATGCTCAAAATCACCACAGATGATATATATATATATATATATATATATATATATATAATTCTCATAAATGTAAAACAAAAAAGTGTCGTACTTAATCGATGTCCTAAGCGTATTCCTCGCACTTTATATGACATGATTGTGAAGAATAAATATGAGATAAATTTTCATGAGAACAATATGATTGGGAACAAACCTGCACTATATTTGGATGATAAAGCCGCGAAAGGAAGGCAACTTCAGAATTGAATTGCTTCTCGAGAGTCGCTCGCTTCTCCTCATCCTGCTCCGGAATCCTTACCATCTTCACGGCCACTGCCCGTTGCTTGTAGATGCCTCGATATATCCTACTGTTTGAGCCCGAAGCAAACTTGTTTCCGATGAAGAGTTGTGAAAGATCAGCCATCCATTCCTCTCTTTCCCCTCCTGCCTTCGCCTCGGAGTTCTCGGCATTCCCTGGGTCCAGTAGCATCGACCATGATTCCAAGCTGTCCCATCTCTTCCTTTCCATGATCTCCATTTCAGAAGACAAGTGGTTCCACTTGGGCCACCGGGAGGAAGAAGGAAAGGAAGAAGAAGAGAAGGGAGGAGGAGCGGGAGGAGAGGAAGGTAAAGTGATTGAACTGGCCCTGTTCTTCTTGCCCAGCCTCAAGGCCGGGAAACAGAAGGCCATGTTAGCACACCCCCCTACGAAGACGACTACAGCAACTAGCTGAAAGAGAAGCTGAGGCTGAGGCAGTTGAAGAACTGCAACTGCATCCTTCTGGGAAGATGAAGAAGGTAGGACATGAAATCTATCGACAGATGCTTGCAAGACATGATTTGTTTCGGTGAACAGGAAAGAATAGAGAAGGGTTCAATTAAAAATTCGAGAGTATAAGCTGAAGAACAAATGCAATGGTGGAGGCAGATCAGCAAAAGTTTAGCATCATTGGAAGGTGATAAGCCGACAAGTAATGGTTCAGGGTTATGAGAGGAATTAAGGTAATGATCTTGAGCAGAATGGCCAGCCTGCGGAAGAATCCCAAAAGCTTGCTAGGAAGGGTAAGAGAACCATTGGTTTCTGCAAGAAGGAAGAAAAAAATGTTGGCTTCTGAGAATCCGGACAATGGAACACTATCCAATCATGAAAAGGTACACTTTGAGAGAGAGAGAGAGAGGAGAGAGAGAGAGGAGGGAGCAG